GGACTCTGTATTCGGCACTTCAGACAGAGCACACTGTACTTCCTCAAGGAAGGTCTCATATTCTCCTTCCGAATTGGGTGCATAAACCTGTACTAAGATCAACGGTTTAGCCTGTTATAACTTCAGCGATATCATTGCTTCTCTTTCTCTGACAGGCTTTCGTTCAATGATTTTGTCAGCCACGCTGGGTTCTGTTAGAACACCAACACCGGTCTGAGCACTCGTCACGATTTCGACACCTGAGTAGAATAACTTCCAGCCCTTGAGGTTCAGAATTCGAGATCCTTGGCGCTTCGTTGACGAGAGTCTAACTGTATCGAGTTGGTACTTTTAGACCTGATCAACTAGTTCCGTGTCTTTCCTTGTGAGTGTTTCAATTTCCCACGGTAAACTCTCAGTGGAACCTTATGTGACGTGTTGTAATGGCATAGCGCTCCCGGCATCCTTCGTTCAGAACGAATAGCGGCTCCGTTGCTGACCGTACATTCGTCATGTTCTTTTCGATCTTCTTGCTGATTGTAATTGATGACTTTTCGTAGTCTGCGTCAGTTTCGGAACAATCTGCGCAATCGATTCCGATGTAGCGTTTGACATCGACAATATCACAAGGGGCAGATGGCAACGTTTTGCTAGAAAACTCGCACACGCTCCCCAACCCACCTCCTTTTTCATCCCAGCTTGGGACCGGCAAGGGTGAATTAGCGTCAAGACTATACAGGAATATAATTCAATGCTACATAATTTAATACTGTACTGGTGAATGACCGTTTCACGCGAATACGGCTATTGAGCAAGCGCTTGCATAATCATTCTAAGCCAGTTTTCTAGCTTCATGTTGTTGTTATCATCGTTATCTGAGGTATCGGGATCAATGACCGAGAACCCAGATTAATGAGATCCGACGCTTTGGCTTTTCAGAATGATTTAGGTGATGTTGATTGAGTTGATCATCTGGAGGTCAGATTTGTTGGCATTAAACATCCGGATCTGTGAACGTACACCACTCATCACCCACGCGTCGCGTAACGGAGTTAGTCTCAGTTTCTAGCTTTGTAGATATTGATAATTATCAATAAATATTAATATATGCTAACGTCTGTAATGCATGTGCATCACGATCGTGTTGTTCACTTGTTATATTTGCGTATACTAACTGGGACTGATGTTCTAGTAGAATATGTATTATAATGTATTCAGAATAATCATGTTTAGCTTAATGGCCAATGTTTTGTTACCATCACAGTTGGCAGCACGGTTATTATTGAGTCAGTTACTTTTAGTGTCCTAAAATAACCATTCCCCAGCCGGTGTAGCGCAGGCCGTGATCAGCAGTATGTATCGATTGGGCTTGTACCTGTCTGTGTATGTATGCATGGCGCAGACTTTTCAGCCAACAAATTATGACCTCTGGAAATAAAGGCCTTCTGCTGATCCGAGTTCTGAAAGCTAAATTTCAAACGAGGATGGGGTATGAGCAGTTTCTAACAGAACTACACAGCCACAGTCCTGGTCATGGTGTATAAACCTAAAGTTGCT